TTATTGTTATGATTATTTGCATCATCATATTCATCAATATTATTATGTGAATAATAATAGCAAAGTCAAGATCAACAATAACTGCAATGATAATGATGATAATGATTGATTATTATTATGATAAATGGTAACATTGGCGACAGCTGGGATGATAAGATTAATAATGATAATGATTATGATTATGATGATAATGTGATGTGATGTGATGGTAATAATAATAATTAACATTAAGCAGACTTTGCACTAAAAAAAAAAAAAAAAAAAAAAAAATGAATGAGAGAATCCTTAAGCGCAGAGCCAGTTTCTCTCCAGTGTTTTTTTGTTTTTATTCGTTACATTTGTCGCTTTATCAACGAGAGCGTTACACTAAAGCGATAGCATTAAACAAGCAATGAGATGGCATGATTGTCGAGATAAGACCCTATCTTCGACCTATCTAATGTAGGTAATGAATTTGCATAGGGCCTCTTATTTGCAGTGGTGAGAGTATGAATGGAGTTGCCTGGGTAACCAAAAAAATAAAGGTCACACGAAAACTAGAGCCAAAAGTGGTCTTAACAATACTGAACTGGCAACTTCATCATGCAGGGGCAGATCGACATATATAAGGACGGCAGTTCGAAGTCCTGAGTATCAGTTCGAACTATACACACTAAGATGAAGTTTGTAAGTAGATCTGTTATAATTTGTGTCCATCTGTTTTGAAGTCTAATCCTGTTTTTATTTGTCATTATTATTTTTTTTTTCGTGTGGAACCGAAAGGGTAAACTCAGCATTACAAGATGAAACGAGAATATATTGATATTTTTTTCTCTTTAATAGGTAGTATTCGCTGTCGTGGTCGCCGTGGCTTGTGCCGACCGGCTGTACGAAGCCCCATCGGTTCGTGCTGACTCCGACGAGATCGCCATCTTGAGGGACGACCGCTTGATCGAGGACGACGGAAGGTACAACTTCGACATGGAGACTGCCAACGGAATCGTCATGTCTGAGTCTGGCTCTCCTGGAAACGAGGGAGCCATCAACAGTGCCGGATCCTTCTCGTAAGTTAATAGTTGGAAGACCTGTTTGCAAAATTGAATCATATTCTGGTGACAGTAGGCTATTATGAAACTGATAGGTACGCTATCAACCCATTGCTATTTCTGTACTACGATGTTTTCTGTTCTTCGTGGCAGGTACACCGCTCCTGACGGCACTGACGTCCACCTTCAGTACGTAGCTGATGAGAATGGATTCCAGCCACAGGGTGACCACCTGCCAGTGGCTCCCGAGTTCCCCCACCCGATCCCTCAGTTCGTCCTCGACCAGATCGCCTTCGCCGCTGAGGAGGACGCTCGCAATGCCCGTGGAGAGGTCTCCCGCTCCTATGGTGCTCCCGATAACTAAAGTGAACGAATTTTACGCGAGACAATGATGCCTATCACTTATTTTTTATGTATATATTATTGCAGCTAATTTATTGCTTCGATGTAAATAAAGATAGTCCAATTGCAATATAGGTTTAAACAGTCCTAAATGCTGAAAACATTAAAGGTAGATAGATAGACAGATAGAAAGGTATGAATGAGAATGAATAAGGTTCATAGATAGATAGATAGAAAGATTAATATATATATAGATAGACAGAGAGAGGGGAAGACAGAGACGAAAGCAAAGAAAATCAAAGCTAGTGAAATAAGATTAAAATACCTCACCTCTGCGCTATCATTTTTTTTATTATATAATTTTCATACCGCAACGTGATATCGACTTTATTCTCAAATTTATATAAGAAAAGTTATAGAATAGATCAATACAATACGGGAGTATGACAATGATAACATATGGTGATAGGTCTACAAACATTTGCACTATTAATCACGGCAATATTAACTTGATAATGGTCATGATGATAAAAAGAGTAATAAAACAATGATAATAATAATGATAGTGATAATGATAATGATAATGATAATGATAACAATGGTTATAATGAAGATGATGATGATAATAATAATGATAATAATAATAATAATAATAATAGCAATAATAATATTAATAATAATAATAATAATAATGAGATTAAACTATATAATGAAAGAAAAAATTAACATTAAGCAGACTTTGCACAAAAAAAAAAAAAAAAAAAAAATGAATGAGAGAATCCTTAAGCGCAGAGCCAGTTTCTCTCCAGTGTTTTTTTGTTTTTATTCGTTACATTTGTCGCTTTATCAACGAGAGCGTTACACTAAAGCGATAGCATTAAACAAGCAATGAGATGGCATGATTGTCGAGATAAGACCCTATCTTCGACCTATCTAATGTAGGTAATGAATTTGCATAGGGCCTCTTATTTGTAGTGGTGAGAGTATGAATGGAGTTGCCTGGGTAACCAAAAAAATAAAGGTCACACGAAAACTAGAGCCAAAAGTGGTCTTAACAATACTGAACTGGCAACTTCATCGTGCAGGGGCAGATCGACATATATAAGGACGACAGTTCGAAGTCCTGAGTATCA